TAAGAACAAATGTTCCATTGCTGCAAATATCAATAAAATATTTGTGTAAATGTCTCGTAAAAATTCTATGAATCTGAATTTCATTTAATGATCTATTCTATCATCTCAAATGAAATTTAATAATAATTAGTCGAAGATATAATATAATTGATTTAAGTTAATGATAACTTACTATAATCATATAAATCAATAAGTGTCAATTTTTCAAGTAAAGGCATAGTTAATGAATTCATTAATATAATAAGATCATTGAGAAATATATAACGTAAAAATAAAGATTTTAATCGAGTACTATCAACTATTTCATTTAATTCATTTTTATAAAATTTAATATTTGATATTGATTTATTTTCATATTTATGGTGATGTTCTGGTAAAATAATACATATTTCCTCATTTGTAATATTTAAATGTTCAATTAATGGCAAAGCACCATTTCGAAAAAAAAACATTATTTCACTTGAATGTTCGATACTTAAACTTAATTCTACTGTATTTGGCCAACATAATTGTTCCATCTTTAAATCTTCTATTAAATTATTTTTATAAAATTCATAACCTAGAGAATAAATAAATCTAATAAGAATATAGCAAAAAAAATCTATCATCGTAGCTAAGCTGTATATTATCAACTAGAACAAGCACGTCTCACGATGTGGAAGGGGCTGGGGAGTCCTAAACCCCAACCAGGGCTCTCCATAATTTTCAAGAGTGAGGGCCCCTACAATTTGGTAGACAATCCTTGGATAGATATTCAACACTTTCGCAGACATAACGTGAAAAGTACCGGGAACTAGCATCCGCCTCCCATATCGAGAGCGATGCCTCGGTACTTTTTACGTCGTGCCTACGAAAATGTTGGATATCTATCCAAGAACTATCTGCCAAATTCTAGTAGACAGCTTTTTCTCTACCACTGTCTGCCTACTTATAAAACTCATCGAGAGTTCTGAGAACAAATCTATTTCTTGTCATATCTCATAAACAAAATTCCAATGGATAAATCCGCCGAATTTCTACCACTTTTGTGGAAAAGAAAAATTTTTAGTTTTGATAGTCTAGTTAGACATATCATAGCTGAAAACGGTCTGAGGTAAAAATTAAAATCTTTTTCAGTATATAATGTATGGAGATCCAGATCATATTTTAGGAATATTTCACACATGTAACAGGTGTTCAATAAACACCTTATCTTTAAATTGTTAATGATTTTTTTCATACTTTTGTTTGATATAGAAATTTGAAATTTTTCTTACATATATATCTAATCAAAATCTTTTACTTCTGAAAGTTTCATCTGTCTATCTAGAACTAGTGGTGAAATACGTCAACAAGATTGACATACATTAATTTTCATACTTGATTTTTCCATATGAAACTATTGCAAAAATCGACTACAAAATCGATGTATTTCACCATCAGTTCTAGAAAAAGAGCTGAAAGTTTCAGAAATAAAAGATTTTCATTAGATATATATATATATATGTGATAAAAATTTCAGCTTTCGATATCAAGAAAAAGTATGAAAAACATCATTATAATTTCTCATCGATTGCTATAGGATATCCTTTACATATGTATAGTGTTCATAAAAAATGATCTCGATGTACAAAAATATTTTAAATTATTACCTCAGATCGTTTTCACCGATAATACATCTAAATAGATTATTAAAGTCGAAAAAAAAACTTTCTTTCAGAACATTGACGCAGTTTCCACAAAGTGATCACTCTTTAATGAATTAGTTATTGTGAAACAGAATTATTAGAA